TTTTTTTTTTTTTTTTTTTTTTTTTTTTTTTTTTTTTTTTTTTTTTTTTTTTTGGTGATTCACCGCCTACCAGTTGTAATTTTTCCCTTCCTCGTCGACGAGCTTGCAGGGGTGATGCCACCGTGGACGGCTTTCAGTTTTGTTGAGCCCCCCACCCCCTTTTTTCTATTGTGATACATGTATTAATAACGTTACACTCGAGACTCGCGGTGGGAATTTCTTGATATGCGCTGCGCTGACTCATCGTCACCCTCGAGGGGCCTTTTTTTTTTTTCTCTTAGCAACGGAAACGATGTCGTGAAATTTTACTTGTACTGTACGCTTTTTGTACATCACCTAATGTTGTATTTTAACAGTATAAATTTATGAATCGGGAAAAAAATGGTGTGTACAGATGCGGGTAAATGCGCGTGGACAAAGATAACTGCGCCGTTGAGACAACAAAAAGCACGATGATCCATCGCCACGCGACAATCGTATGCGTCGTATCGTCGTTTTTCATACGACATAAGTACATAAAATTGCAACAACTGCAAACTTCGATAAGTGAAAGTGGGTGAAGTCGATGTGTGTACTTGTATCGTGAATAATTGTTTTCGCTCGCACGAGCGCGTTTGTTCGCAAAGCTAATTTTATTGTTACAGAGCTGCGATAGGCTTTTGATTTATTGTTCACGTGTAAATAAATGTTTGATGCTCCGAGTGGTACATTTTGAAAAATCGTCAATTGGTGCTGTTTCATTGAGCCGCAGAAAACTATTCTCGATCGGTTTTTTTTTTTTTTTTACGCTTGATGTTGAGGGAGGGAGAAGAGGCACAAGCTATGGATAAAAAACGAGAAACCATTGGTTTTTTTTGTTTTTTTTCAGTACAAACCGACCAATAATTTTCCCAGTTAAATCGCAGACAACCGATTCTCAAACTCGCCGTCCCGGCTGGTATATCTGGAAAATTCGTACGCTTGCAGTGAAGGACCAACTCGTCTCCGTTAGTTTGAACTATAAGAAAACCGAGCCGTGCCATCAGAAACCATATACATTTGTACACAACACCACAACGCAAATTTTTTTTTTCTCGAAATGTTTGTTGGAGAGGGTACCGAGTACGACGAATAATCATGATCGGCATCTCTTCCCATCCCTCCCAAGCGTACATGTATAACCAGGACACGCGCGAGTAACGCAGACGTCCCGTGCCACCTGCTGCGACGTAATTGCCCACGCGACTACGATACACATCCCGATCTCTCTAGAAGCTATACGCGGGAGTTATCATTTTCTCTCGTCCGGCTTTTTTTCCTCTCTCTCTGCTGTGCTCCTCGGCTGTTTGTTACACACGCGCGCTCCCGTCCTTACAAGCCGGGCTAATAAAGACTTCTCCTCCTGGTGCTCCCGCTTCGACTCTTTCATCCGCCATACCACACCCCGGAGATGCTTGCCCGAGATTGCGGCTTATTCTTATGGTAATTTTACGAGCTCGCGAGATCGTGGGGACCATTGTGCGCCCTTATCGCCATTAAGGACGCTACCGGCTGTTTACCCTCCTTTTTTTCCCCCTCTCTTACATTTTGCCGCTCGTTCACGTCTCGATCCCATCTCTTTCTTTCTTTATTTCTTTGACAGTGGAAATACCCCCTTTACTTACGTGAGACTCGTGATGTGCAATGTGACAAATCAAAGTGTATTAACATAGTGATGGCCTTAATTTCCACCCAACGGGAATGCTGCAACGAACGCCCACGACTACTCTCCCCTTATGCGTAAGCCATTCTTTTGGAATTCGTGAAAAATAACACTCGTAGGATGGATCACGTAAGTATACTTAAAAGACTTGAAAGAAAATAACAAAAAGAGAGACACTACACATACACGTATTTTTTTTACTTTGCAATGCAACCTCACTATAAGATACCTCCTCGTTGTACTACTAAGATAAATCCTGGCCAATGGCTCTTTTATTCTTTGGCGGGATCCTGAAAACACACGTAAGATTTTATTCAAATCGGCGTATCGAGGAATAGCCAATGGTACGCGTTATGGGAGAAACATTGCAATAACCATTTGATCCACAAAACTTCGAGGAATAATATCCCGAGTGCAATAGAGGAGCCAACGAGCATCGCGCAAAAGGCAAAGTAGCACTCGCGAAGACCGACGCTGACGAATTTGCTGCGCCCGTTGCACGGAGGCCTCTTTGTGTACAGTCTAAGCATCTCCCTCGATTTCAATCCGGACTCCTCGATCTTTAACGAACTTTTTGAAATATGTATATACATATATTGCGGCGCTTACAGGGCAAAAACAAACAAACAGCTCACTTGACCCTTATGATTTCGACGTAGGGCGATTGTTTGACGATGGTGAAAGTGGGATCAAAGTGCTCGATGAAGTACATCTCCCGGAAGCCGCACTTTTCGTCCTCCTCGAAGGTTTCCTGGATGATCTTGTAGGCAGGGCCGATTTCCATGAAAAACGCGAAGAAGCCCTCGCGCACGTGTCTTATCCCCTCGTCCGCCGACAGCCAATTGCTCGACTTGCCGGTTTTCGGCTCGATCTTTTGCTCGATGATGGCCCTTCTGATCGGATCTATTTCCATCTGTTGGAGAGGGGAAAAACAAAAAAACAAAAAGAAGAGAAAAAAAAAAAAAAAGCTAATCAAACATGTGCTTTGTCTCTCACGTCAAAGTAATGCCGATTGTAGACGATATCTTGGGCGCCGCACTTGATCGGGCTGTCGAGGAGGTCCTTCAACGTGCCGATCGACGTGGTCGTGGATTGCAACAGCGCCACTATGTTGGCCGAGTAGGACGCGTAAAGATTCAAAATGGCCATGAGTAGCATAAGCACGACGATCCTCGACGACACCGTCAGCGGATTGCGCCCCGAGCCTGTACACGTGTATCCACATAAGCACGACGATGGATAACACATTATGGATAAACAACCAATAACCTTGCTGGGCCACGGCGCCGATAACGAGGAGCAAATCGTCGCTCAATGTGGGCGGTGGACAGTCGATCTCGCGGACGGTCCACTCCCAGCGCGTCGATACGACGAGCAGGGCGAAAATAACGAGCAGCAGGAGACCCACTGCCAGCCAGACGGACCGGCGGAAAGGGAGGGTGAACAGGTTGCTCACGAAGGACAGTGGTGGCTGCCGGAAGATGAAGGCCGCTCTGTACACGCAACGTGGAGCAAAGTTGGGTTTTTTTTTTTTTTTTCATTTTTATCATTTCGGGGATGTTGGTTTTGATGGATGGATCTACGAAGAAAAGGGGGGAACGATGTAGATCGGTATCTCGTGTGTATGTGTAGGATGCCCCCCCTCATCTATAAACATACGATTGCGAAGGAGCACAAGTGACTTGTATTAAACGGCCGATTGATGGAAGTATGCCAGGTCAGCGCGTGTAGCCTCAGAATCGGTATCATATAAAATGAAAAAAAAAAAAAAAAAAAAAAAAAAAAAAAAAACTGCGTTCGCTGTACAGCATTGCATAGTAATATTCACGTGGAATACCGATTTTTTCCCGTCTGTCTGTGCGGCTCGCTTTGTAGCTTATTCGTGTCTTTGAACCATCGCCTTCCAGGGGACACGGTCGTAAAGTTACAACCGACACCCAATGCTAATTGCAAGAGGCTTGGGACCGAATTTTCCTTTTTCCGCTCATAGTGTCGTAAATTTACGACTCACGGGGTAAAATCGCCGACACTCTCGAGCCGTAACCGTAAATGATGATTCGCAAAAGTGCAGCGAAGAGCGTATAAGGTCGAGGACAATGCAAATATTTGGAATAACCGAGAGGTGGCGGCTTTTTCTTTCTCTCTCTCGAGGGTCTCCTGACAGAGTGCAAAAAAAAAAAAAAAAAAAAAAAAAGGTGCAGAAATGGCAAGCAGCAGTGACCTGTAGCACTCGAGCACCCATCCAGAGTTGAGGGTGACAAAGACGTCGCTCCGCGCCACGTAGATCAGAGGCTCGGGCAGTAGGCGCCCCTTCAGCGAGCGACTGAACGCGAAAATCTCCTGCTCGTAGAACATGAGCGTACCGTCGAGGCACTGCACGCACAAAAAGTCCCGGCCCCTGGCACCACCGAACGGACCCACGGTCAGCGAGTACGGGAACCTCTTCAGCTGGTGCTCGTAGGCCACCTGCAGTTGGCACCTGTCGCCTGTATCAGAGAAACAAACGATTCAACCGATCATATACATACCGATCGTGCGATCGGTAACGAGTTCGGTTGCACAAGTCACGTTTATTGCGAAACGCGAGAGCTATGCATTTCAAGTGCATGTGTCTCTCGACGCATTGGTTACCATAAATAAAACAGCCAAGTTCCGTTAATTGGGGCGGGGAGGAGCCAACGTGATTACCTGATCGACGCGCATCTATGGGCAAAATGATCTCGTGTCAGCCGGTGGGACAAACTTGGAATGTATTTTGGTCGGGTCGGGTAAATCATCGAGATGACAGATCGGCGCTTTATCCTTATCCCGATTTGATTAGCGTCGATTTGAACAAAAAAATAACAGCTAAGATATAAATGAATACACGCTTGTGAAAACCTGGAGAAATCACGAGTCATCGCGTCTAATCGGGAAATAACAATTTTATGGGGCCATATACTTTTTTTTTCTTTGATTCGCGTGCAATTTCAAAACAATTCGTACGATGAGTTTCAAAGGTTTTTTTTTTTTATTTTTTTTTTCCATCCGCAGGATTAAAAGGGTGACGACCGTGGGCGGTGGCGTTTTTGCAAATCATGCGACTTTAATATCTCGATCAAAAAGCCCAAGTATAATTGAATATAATCATTGTATATGAAAAAAAAAGTATTGAGCTCTTTCCATCCATTGGATGTACATGAAATGAAAAACGAATGATTTTCCTGTCGAGCACTTGGGCGTATTTCCAGCTTGAAACAAAAAAAAAGAAGAAGTCAAACGAATCCACCAATCGCTCAACAAAATAACGCCGTTCCCAAGGTAGAACGTGTACTCGTAACTCTTGCAGCAGCTCTTGACTTTGCGATATTTTTTTTTTTTTTTTTTTTCACGCTGTACGTAACAGTGATGCACGCGTTAACGCGGATAAATTTACGAGACAAGCTTACATGTATATATACCTACTCGCTTTGCCATGTTCGGCAAAAGCTCGGCTATGGACTGTTTGCCCGATGTCGAGTTTTTTCTTTGTTTTTGATCTATTGATCTTTTTTTTCCCCCTCGTATGTGCAGTACACGTAAAAACCTTTCGTCACTTGGACGGATTTGGTCGTCAATCATAGCGCGACGATGAGAGAAATCTCCGTCATACACGCGACTAATTGTACACAAGGCTTGGACAATAGAATGTCGTGAAAAATATCCGAGTAGTCAGTCTCGTTGTGTACAACAGCGGCGAAGCGTGCCATACTCTCAGTGAGCTATGGTGTCGTTCGATGTTTAGCATAAAAATGCTGTTCCAGAACGTGATCGGTATAGAAAACCTTTTGAGATGCTGTGTGTTGAGCACACCGGAGCTCAAACACTGTTCGTACACACCTCGTCGTGTGACATTATTGCGGCGCGTACCTATGACGCGCGAGGCCTGTCGTACACTTACTCGCTGTTGCAACGCTGCAACTGACTTGTCTTATTTTTTGTACCAAATAATCACCTGTTTTAATTTTTTTAAATCTTACTGTACGGGATACGTAAAGTTCTTCTACAAAGAACGTTGTGTTGCAATATGATTAGACATTACAGCATTATCTTGAATAATGAAAAAAAGGAACAAAAAATTATTTTATTGTTACGAGATCGGTAGAGGACCAAGTTGATAATACAACATGTACCATAGTGGTTGATGCAAAAACTTGACTTGATTGAAGCCCAATCCATTAAAATTTGAGCAATTAATTTTTGCATCATATTTTATTAAAGAATTAACAGTAGTAAAGTACTTTCCATTAAAAGGATACAACCTGCTATGTCCAGTTAAGCCAAAAGTAACATAAAAAAAAAAGAAAGTAAAGGGAGTAAAAAATATGGGTACTGACATTTGTCGAGTGTTTTTCTTTCTCAAGAGGTGTATTCAATGCACTCGAGGTTGCGGTTCCTTTCGGCGCATCTCCTCCAATAATACCAAGTAAGTGCAAGTACTGGCACGACAATGATCCTCTCGAGTGGAAGCCAAACAAAAAGAATCTCAAGAGAATAACCACGAAGAGGCTGCCTGTCTCTTTTTGCTTTGCAAAACTTTTGACATTTCCTTCAAGTTGGTTTTGCTCTTCAACGAGTCCACGTCTTTTTTTTATTACTGTTGTTTTCCAAACTGCGTTGGTGTACCAATTCTTTCCACGGCTGCAAGATATGTCAAAAAAAGTTTCGACACAAACACCATCTTAAGGATCTGATGATGTTTCTCTATTGAAACCGTATGGGAACACTTTTGGTTAAAGCAGATCTTTTCTTATTTTCGGATGTATAGGCAAATGACGCCAACAAACACGTGACGCTTTTTCAATTGTTCACGCTTTGTTATTATAATCACAAGAACAAAATAAATAGTAGATCAGTTTTGTTTATTCCCAGCAACATTTTAGTCTTGAAGAGCAAATGTCACGAGCAGACATTGCCATGGTAGGCGCATCGGTTAGAACGATTCTTTCGACGAATGTCACATGATAAGATAAACGTGGCTTTGACCATTTTATTTATTGGTCTCATGAAACGTGAAACGTGATCATAACTTACCATGTTCCGTTGTGCCTTTCTTCAACGTAACCGTGTAGACAATCAGTTTTGTTGGTGTTAAAATGGCCAATCGCTCATCCTGAGATCCACTGTAATCGAAAGACACAAATCGGTTGAAATAGTACTCAATGTACAAATATATGTATACTGTTTTTTTATTTCTTTTTTTTCCATCTCTGGCACTTGTATGGTACAGGAAAAATATGTCATTCCCACCTGGTGCATAATAATCTACTACTCAACGATTATTTTCATACCGATTTTACCGATTTCATGCCTTATTCGCAAAAAGAGTGGATTATCCAAAAGATGCAATAAAACAAGAAATTCTATATGTAAACGCGTGTGACAAAAAAAAAAAAAAAATAAAATAAAATAAATCCACCGATCGTTAACTTTTTGATCGATCCGGAATACAACGACCGCTAAACCACTCCTCTACGACTACATTCGCCTATACACCATGTATCATAATTTACGTGAAATGGATGAGGGGTGGGGGGGGGGACTTGTTTCGTGGACACGCG